CATTAGCACCTCTAGTAATATATTTACTGAGAAAAATGTTGACGTGTTCAATACTTATTTTACCCGCTGTATAATGCTAAGAATTACTTCATGCCTAACCACCTAATGTGACTAAAGTATGTCATTCATTCCTGTGTTAAAATAAAACAAAATTAATTCAAACCATGTTATCAACACTTCCTGCATGGAAATAACTGCAATAATTTTCTTGTGGCCACACATTAACTATATTGTGGCAAAAAGTTATTATCTTGTGGCCACACATGATTTATTTTTATCCATGAATCCCAAATTTCAATCAGTATTCTAAAATTAGATATGTAACAAACAGAGATGAACATCTAAAATGTTTGCAGAAAAAAAATATTGGAAACTCAATTTCCTTACCCTCATGACCTTAAGAGAGAGTGAGACCTGAAAATCTTTTATTTTCAACTAATCTCCAGTTTAAATCACTGTTCAGATCACAGCCTAAACAACAGATATTCTTTAATGCTCATATTATAGTACCAGTTTTAAAAATAGTGCAAAACAAGTAAATACAGGGCTAAAACGACAAGATAGTACAGCTTATAAAGTTTTTCGATGCATACAGCATTCTAAGATCTCCTAAAATTAATTTAGGTTATAACATATATTGTGACTTGGAGATTTCTGGGAAAGATGAGTTTAAATTGCAGAAAGAAAGAACTAGAAGGGTTCTTGGAACGCCCATGTTTTCTGAAACCTGATGACCTTCTTCAGAGGTCTGAAGTAAATGTGTAAAAATCTGCACCAAACCTTTAAAAAGCTTCTTTTTTTAGTTAAGCTCCACCACTTAGGCAAACAAACAACACAAAAACAAATTACTGACTAAATTAATGAATGTACCTTCTCCGGTAACAGTAAAAACACTCTGGCCTCCGACTCGGTTTTATTATGTGTCATCAGTCATCAGGATCAATAGAACGGCTGGTGGAAAGCGAACGGATGACAGTTTGCGGTTGGAGCCGCCTGCATCTGCGAGACGGATGCACCTTGCATTTCGTATGGCAATCACTTTTTTTTATAGTAACCGTGTGTGAGTTAGTAGAATGAGTTAGCTCCAAAAAGCAGCAAAAGACTATTTCTGCTCACGTGCGAAGATGCCCTCAACCTAAACAGACGGTTAGTTATTGATGTTAAAGAATGATAATTCTCACCTGTGAGCGCACCTGTCCAAGGCAGGTGGAGAGCAGCAGGATGCCCGGGACCAAGGCCATGCTGGGTAGCAGAGTTAGTTCAGTTTAGTCGCAGCAGGTTAGAGGCCTGGCCGGCTGATCTGCGTTCGGCTCTCAGTGCTCTACACGTTACAGGGTTAGTGCTCGGGCCTCGAAAGATAACAAACCTTGAGCTGTTCCAAAGTTTTACTGGTGAGCGAATTCTTTTATTATCAAAAGGCTAACGGTTCGTCTCTGGTCTCTGAGCCTCTACTGTGAGGAGCTAAATGAATGATTCAGGGTTGAGCTCATGAGGGAAACTTAATAAATAATGAGATCTATTACTCAGCTCTGTGCTCAGAGTTTTGTCTATGTGTGTGTGTGTGTGTGTGTGTGTATAAGGTTACATTTTGGGAGGTATTGGACACCTGGTAGCTGAAACATACTGATGTGGTTGAATGGGAGGAGAAGTATGTTGTTTATAAAAAATGTGCACACCAACATAATTATATGTGCTAAAATCAGCGCACTGATGATCTTCAGTTACATTACGCTTCTTGTTGCCAACTGTTTTCTGTTATGACACACCTTTTGTGACTTCACACCTGAACAGCGTGAATACCTGAACATATCCATCTTGCGCAGGCTGAATTAGGACCTTCCCCTCGTTTGGTTGCAGGTGCACTTGGTAACGGTCCACACAGCCTTCTGCCCGCCGCCATCGGAGTGAGAACGCACGTGTGGATACGTTCACAAACTGCAAGGCGCTCACGGGGTTCAGCGCTCAAATAAAAACAAAAACAACGACGCGAAAGGAGTTGAACAGGGTCAGAGCGAAGGAGAAAGTTTCTGTAACCTATTGAAGGCCTGATGGTATGAACAGATCTGTCGATCAGTGACAGCCCTGAAACTGTATCTACCTGTGTTTACAGTCAGAGTGGCAGCACCTCCTGACGTCGTGCCTCTCACTCTCCCGGCGCTCACGTTGTAGCGGCAGCCATCCCGCAGGCCCGTAATCACGGCAGCCCGCTCCTCTTTGGGTACGATGAGTGTTTTTGTGACGGAGGCGTCGGCCACGGTGACTCTGTGGTGGTCGAACTCTCCAGGAGCGCCGTTCCAGCCGACAGTGACAGACGAGGAGTTGACTTTATTTACACGGAGGCAGCACAATCCTGCTGGGCCTGCAAAGACACATTAGCAGGGGCAGCATTTACGGCTTATAGGAGGAATTACTGTGTAATCTGTGCAGCACTGCGACAGGTGTGTGCGCCACCGTGCGTCTTACGCATGCTGAACTCTCTGTTGGCCGCCCGACTGGCGTCTGATCCCAGAACGCTCTGAATGCTGACGCCATAGTCCGACCCCGGGATCAGTTCCCTGATCTCGTAGCTCGTGCTCTCGACAAACATCTCAATCCACGACTTCCTGTTTGTGGAGAGCAGCCCGAAAAGAAGCTGGCAAAATGACAACAAAGACTTTCAGTCTCAGACCTTTATGAAAATTTATGAAAAACCTGACATGGAGACCTCATATAAATTACTTAAGAACAAAAATATCAAAATCTATTGCAATATACATAAAGTAAAGGAGTTATTTAATGATAAAGCACTATTTATATTATATAATTCAATAATTGTTCCACATTTGTTCTACTGTATGGAAGTCTGGGGGGAATGGATGTAAAACAATTACTAATCCCATCTTTTTTTTTTTACAGAAAAGAGCTGTAAGAATTATTACCAGAAAACATTTATATCACCCATCAAATATATTATTTCATCTATTTAAATAAATAAAATTTTATGAGTTGGTTGATTATAATAATTTACAGGGTGTGTATAAAACACATATTACCTTTGAACATTCAATCAAATTTTGTGAAGAGGGGACGTTGTTATAATGTTAAGGGACTAGGATTTGTGAAACCTAAAATTCAAACAAATTTAAAGAAGAGATGTACTTCAGCCAAAGGAATAAGATTATGGAATAATCTGGATTATGACTGTAAAAATGCTCAATTAATTTGTTTCAAATAATGATAAAAAAAATCATTGAAATTGTACAATATGTATTTGTAAGAGTTACTGTTTGAGAAGTAGGTTTTTTTTGTTTAGCTTTATTATTTGATTACTATTGCATGAAAGTAATATTATTTTGTGCAAATAGGGGCAGATATGAGATTTTTTTCTTCTTCTGCTACTTTTCATTTACTTTGATTTGTATTCTTTTGTTGTATGTAAATGTGTTTTTTAATGAAATGAATAAATTTAATTTAAAAAAAATCCATATTCAAGAAACAATATGACAGACTTTAAATTTGTACATTTTTAGATATTCTCTTTTAATAAATTAATAAATCTAAGTGACTTTAGCTTTGGGTGCCTGCAGAGTCTTTGGTCATACTTCCTGGCTGAACTTCCTTTAAGCTCATGTATATTTAAAGACATGGAAACCAAATCCTCAGTGTGCCTTTAGCAGTTGCTAAGGAACCACTAAACTGAGTAAGCTCAATCATTTAATTATAACATGAGATCAATGTTTTGTTTGTTGAAATGCCACTGATTCAGATGTTTTTCTGTTTGCGCAGACAACTCACCTTGTACTTCTCTACCTGTCCTGGTGGAGCTCTCCAGGTGATGAATACGGATGTTTCTGGCTGCTCTGAAAGAGCCACTTCCTGTGGCGTTGCTGGTTCTGGAGATAAGAAGCTTATTAAAGCATTTTACCTCATATTGGCACCTGAAGATGTTCCAGTAAATACGCTTTTAATTAATCAGCCAGCAGGAGGGAGATGATGAAGATGAAGTAATGCTGAAATATTAAATGATTACAAATACAGGAAAATGTCTTGTGTTTCTGCCTCAGAGTATTTTCTGTGTAGAATATTACAAATAATCATTTGTTTTGACTCCATTTTAATTTTCTACCTTTCAGACTAGTGAAGAGAAATACCGACAGTATAATGTACTAGTACCTATTTTACTGTACTTTGTAGAAATATTTTAGTATTATAATTTAATTTTTGCAAATCAATGCACATTTACTCTGTAAGATCTTGTGAGAAGTGTTAGCACAATGAGCAGGTGTTGAGGATGACTCTCAGTTACTACCGCACCAAATTTTAGCTCAATATTTGTAAAACTTACTATGTTATAGCCATTTTTGTGTTAGCTACATTGGGCTAGCTGTAGCGGCCATCTTGAATCGGGTTGACTCCAAAATTGAAAGAGTCGCAAATGCACAGCTATTGGTTATTTTCTGAGAGTTTCACTAAAACTTGTCCCGTGTTTCATGAAATATTTTGCTAACAGACATCGACATTCAATGCCAAAATTTTAAGCAAAAATACCCTGCAGTGTGTTTTCCTCAAACCTCCTCCTGAACATGATTCTCAGTTAGTGTTGCACCATATATTAGCTAAGTATCTGTAAAGTGACAGAGTTATAGCCCTTTTTTTTCTTGTTTCATTTGATCTCATCTCTACTACATCTTAAAGCTTGGAAATAATTGTTGGAATATTATTGCAGATCCCTAAATGTTTCATGTGCAAATTAAAAGTGATGTAACTACCTCTGAATTACTGTCTTACTAGGTTTCCCTGCAGTGCTGAAAAAAAAAAAACATTTTGGTTGAATAATTTTAAAATTTTTGCAGTTTAATTTGCATATGTGTAAATTCCTGAGACTACTTGTGTGCAGCTATATATTTTTCTCTCTTTCCAGAACCAGACGATGCAGATTCAGCCAGCGTATAGTGAAGTGTTTGACTCACCAGTATAAAGGGTCAGAGCAGCAGGTTTACTGCTCCTCTCCCCACTGGTTGTAACCACTTCAACAGTGTACTGAGTTCCAGGATCAAGGCCTTTGAAGGTGTGTGATCTGTGGACGCACGGATCACACAGCTGCACATCACACAGGCACAAGTTCTGATCGGCAACTCATAATAATTTATGTGGCGTCGACTGACCTGGGCTCCTGATGAGTAACGATGAGCTCCTGAACGGACGTTCTGTTTTTGATGGACAGGATGAGCGAGCTCACCAGTCCTCTGGCTGCACTCCAGCTAATGCATATGGATGATGTTGTTTTATTGACAAGCGAGACCTCCAGAGAGACGGGGGCTGCCACAGTGAGGAAAAAAAAAGACGTGTAGTTATTAGGGAAGAAAGATGGAGAGGCGCTCGTCGGCGTGTGCATTTACCTGCAGTGATATTGATCAAGACGGGCGAACTGTCAGCGTATGACTCCTTCTCTGTCCGTACGGCAAAGTGATAAAGTGAGCCAGGAGTCAGGGCAGAAAACACGGCGCTCTGACTGAGCACCTTCTGCACCTGCAAAACGAAAAGGAAAGGAAATGGAAAAAGTACACATCTCCTTCACATGCATGTAGATTTATATTTATTGTTTGATTTACCCTGAGTGTTTGATCACAGTTGAGGCAGATGACCTCGTAGCCGTGAGCTTGACCTTCTGCTGGATCCCAAAGCAGCTGGATGGATGACTCCGTCACCACTCCTTCCCTCAGTCCGCTCGGTGGAGCCAGACCTAAAATCACACAACACGCACCACTGTCTATATTCTCATTAACGCTATAACAATTGGCTCTTTGCACGGTGTGGCTACGTGACTTCCGCTAACTGGAAGGTGTGAGGACAAGTACTTCCGGGTTGGTGGTTCAGCACAGAGAGCAATGGCGTTGTTTTATACTCGCTGCCTTCAGGATCTCCCAAAAGTGACGATCGGCGATGTTCTCCGCTTGATTCGAACGTTATCATCAGCTCCACGTTGCAAGAAAGAAAAGGGCTTCAAATTTTACGTGTCGAATTACATTGACAACTATGAAGGTAAGCAATAAATACAACATTCAGTCACTGTTATGCTAGCTAGCTTTAGCTCGTTTAGATCTACATTACAACATATTTTTTTT